CTGTTTTAAACCCGTTTTAAATACAAAACTTACGCGACATTTCACTCGTTTCAGCTCGTAAATCCGCGACACATTCCTTTGGACTAATGCAAAGCTGACACTACTAAATAAAGGTAAACACAACTGAATGGCGTGTTCCTTCTTAGAATCAGGAGAGAAAGGGAAAGGGAGAGGGAACGGAAAAGGATGACGAAAAGCGGAAGAAAAAAACGAGAAAGGAGAGAGAGAGAGAGAGAGAGAGAGAGAGAGAGAGAGAGAGAGAGAGAGAGAGAGAGAGAGAGAGAGAGAGAGAGAGAGAGAGAGAGAGAGAGAGAGAGAATTATTAAACTACCCTATGTTTCTATAAAACGTATGCATCTTGCGGATCTTAATACTTATTTTCTTTAATGTACAGTATATTTATAGAATTAATTGTAAGTACATTTCTTCCTTTACTAAACAGGGTGAAGAAAAAGTAAATTTCCAGTATTCATACAATATGTAAAACCTAACATATAAAGCAATGTCTTTCGACCTTAATTCCCAATTCTACATTCTCGGTTAGATATACTTTAATATTTGATCCCCAAGAAAAGCTTTTGTATGAAGTAAGATATAGCAGGGACTAATGCCGAAGCAAGCATCGCGGACATTAGTAAAATAAAGGCAATGTTTAAAAATACTCCTATACTAATATATTTATTTGTATAGTATTACATACAATTATTATTTATTGTTACCGTTGTCATTACTTACTAATTATCATATTAAATTACTAAATTCTATATCATGATGCTTTCCTCGTATCAGTAACTAACAACATTTATTAAAGGAGTGATTCACGATGCTCTCATGTCATATTTTTTGGGCGGTCCCTCGTCTTTTTATTCATGGCTCTTACAAAAGGTCTATGGTGAAAAAAAAAATAATGTGACTAGTTCTATTGTGTTGTAAGGTTAATTCTTTTCAGGTTGGGTAGAAAAGTTACACCTACTATACCAATTTCTACCCATTCAGAATTAATTATACAAAAAATATTGATGTAATAATAACAATATTGAAAAAAACAACAACTAAGGAAAGACCGGAGAGTGATTCTCATTTTCTCCAAAACAGTATTACAATAAAACGAATAAAAAAAAAATAAAAATAAGAAACTTACTCAACCGTGGCGTGTAGTGGGTGTAATCCTCTGATTCCCCGCTCGACGCCATCTTGGTCCGAGGCGAGACTATCGCGGGGGGAACGATCACCTTCCGGCGACCTATCTGGTCTTTTGCTTTAGGTTTTTCTTTTCACTTCCGTTTATTAACACTATTTTTTTTTTCTTCGGGGGTGGGGGTGGGGGAGAGTAGGGGAGGGGAAGGTGAAAATAATTTTATAATGTATGTGATCCTGCAGTCGGTTCAGAAGTGTCTGGCGTCAGGTTTCTCTGAAGTAACTTTCAAAATGACATGTACTGCTTTCACACACGACTGAAAATGGTTCAGAACACTATTTGAAACGGAACTACTAAATAGAAATGACTTAGATTAGTAACCTATGTAGCAGGATTCCAGAAAATACAACAATAGCTATTAGTGACTTAATATTTTTTCTGTTGATACACATGACAATCTCGACAATAATGGTCTACTTCCATGACGAAACTGGTCACGTATCTCTTCTTATCTGTTAGGCTTCTGTTATCTCATTACTCACCAGCCCTCTTTACCTAGTGGAGCATATATCATGGTCACAAAAAGCTATCTTATCTCTCGTTGATGACCTGGATGTTTGGAAAGAAAGTAATCCATGATTTTACGGTTTACTTTTTCCCGATTGGTCATTTTTAAATTGTATTCTTATCGATGTGAATATGGAAAGGCAACTGGCTATGGATAATTGTCCAGTTGTCTTATCGTCAAAATTTAAGTAAAGTAATGACTGATAATGCCAAATTTAAGTACTGACTGGTGATGCCAATACGTGTGCACAAGGAAAATGATAACTGTAATAACATCTGTAATGCTTGTTGTATTAAGGAAGACTATCTATGACAATCATGATAATACTGATACAAAAATAACAGCAATCGGTGATTTGAACTACCATTATCAATATCACAGGAGATAAGAAAACCAATTTGGGTACAAAAATTACGAATACCGATATATCTTGTATGCTACTGTGCTACTGCTATTACTTCGATAATGGCGATTTTCATGCCGGTATTAAATGTACCACTACTATCATTACCAATTATGACAACTCCAACAGTACAAGTACAATAATTCTTTCTGTATGGTTCATTATACTCATGTTAACAACGTTAAGAACATCTGTTATTATTATTATCCTTATAATTGTTACTATCGTTGTTAACATTATTAATATTTCTCTTAATTTTGTTACTGTTTTTATAATTATCATTATGATAATCGGTATCAGTGATAATAACTGTCTCGATAATGATAAAGAATAGTAACAAAGTTAAAATGATTTCACTTTTTTAATAATAATAATCGTAATTAATATTACCACTTGCTGTCGTTACTATTTTAGGTATCGTTATCACTTGCATTAAAGCCATCGCCATTAGGATAATATGTCAATATAATCACCATCCAGTGTCTTTTTGAATGCAACCATCTTCATTTCCAATAATAATCGTATTTGTTTAATTACTTGGTAATGTTATTACGACTATTGATAAAGTAGCACTGCCATTCTCGTCATTTCCCCACAAGACTGAATGCACTGACCATTTCCTCAAGGTACATAATTATTACACAGTTTATAAAAGCACACTAACATCCATTATAAGTTCTTAACCCAGTATGAAAAAAAAAATCACAACACTGTAAAACGATTTTTTTTAAGGAAAATGCACACACATACACGTTTCTCTCCAGCGAATACCAGCAACCAACTGTTCTTGAACACCAGTGGCGATCTCGTTAACTTATCTGCATTAAAGGCCGTTGGTCCGGTGACGACGCCATGGCCATTGTGATGATAAGAGAGATAAGAATAACGTCTCACCCAAGATCTGCACGTGGGTCTCACCCAAAACAGGACGTCAGATTAGATTGGCTGGACTTCCTGTGTCGAAAATTTCGTGAAAAACTGAAGAAGTTACATATTTAAGGGTCACACTTGGGGGATTCCACTTGTAGATTCTCCCGAAAAAAAAATACACGGAAATTGATTTTTATGCCAGTTTTGTTTAGAGCAATATTGAGAATATGTCGAATGTACTTTTTTTTTTTTTTTTTTTTTTTTTTTTTTAGGGAGATATTACATTAAACAAAACACAAAACATTACTAAATAAAACCGTATTCATTTTGACAAATGTAGAGAAGGTATTTTTCTACATTAATTGGTAAATATATTTCCTAAAATATTATTCTTGTATTTTTCCGTGTGTGTTACATTAATCTTTAATCTTTATCTGTGTGACCTGGTCAGTGCAGTTGTATACCACTATCACACTGGCATGTTTACCGACATTGAATCACCAACATAAAGCGACTGTTAAAACGACTACTCATGGCATTCAACATCTGTAAATGGAAATATGATTAATTTTCTCCATGTCCTGTGTTTTTACTTGCCCTTACAGAATTCTGATTTTGTACAATCATAGTATATGTACCATAGCCAAACCAAACATAAAGTAAATTTGATCTATAAGAAATACAACCTACCAAGGAGAATATACGTAAAATCTGTCCAGGTTATGACCACGCACAGGCACTCGTCATCGAATCCCACGGTTTCATTTCCGCAGACGCTGGCATTGGTCATTTATTGTATTTGAGTATATTCATCTGATCATCTAGGTTTCGCCTTTCAATTATATTCATTTGTCGTATGTCCCGTATATAACGAACCGAAATGAATAGGAAAGTCGCATTTTCCTTTACAACAGCAGAGGAACAAGAACATGTATGATTCCTGTTCATACAGAAGGAACCGTGATGTTTGTCTTTGCTCTTCTTGCATTGATTAAACTTTAAAGTAAGGTTATGTCATCCAAATAGCAGGGGCAGGGCCAAATTTTCCTACTCTGGTGCAAAATGGTGTTATTCATGTGGTGTTATATGCCACCCAATTAGAAAGTTGCGTTAGCCCATTCGGTGCCACTAAATACAGTGTATACACCTGCATCATCAAATACCATGGAGTAGCCTTTAGCACATATAAAATGTAGATATGTGTGATGATATAACTGTATTACCTAATAAATTGATTTAACAGTACAGACCTTATACTTCCCTGTAATTGAGAAGGGAAAATGAAAAGTTCTCTGGAACTTTTGAAAGTAGCAACACGGAAAAAAACAGGAAAATATCTCTCTTCTTGAAATCACTCCAACCCTAGGGTAAAGAGAAATTGGGAAAGAATACCAACACCTTTTAAACTCCGGTCCAGAAACAGACCAAGAAACTGCTGTGGAAAGTTTGAGGACAGGTGAGGCTATGAATTTTAACAGAAACTACCCGGACCAGCTTGTACATCAACTGAGCATAAAATGATTTGCTATGGTCAAAATATTTGTATCAATAAATCATGTACCTATTTCACAGGAGCCACGCTAAGGTTACAGTTATACTCAAATCTGTTAAACCAGGAAACTAAAGATCAGTCTCCCTCACCAGACAAGACATCCAAAAGATGAACACAAAAAACAGTACAGTCCTTGCTTCTCTACTTTGCACAGATAAAATGAGCAACCAATTCCTCCCAACAGAACTCCACCAAGATTATTTTGGAGTGATAATGGATCTCCCTACATGGAGCATTTTGATAACCACTAAATTGTAAACTATCAATTATTGTATAAGAAAGCTTGCTGGAAAAACTGAAGTAGCATCCTAGACTGTGCTCAAAAACTGCACGAAATCACTTCAGGGGACCTCACATGAAAATAAAGTATTAATAAAATGGATGATTTTTCTTCTATGTTTAACACCCTTTTCTAAGTTACATTACACCTAAAAACAGATGTTATAGGCATGTTGAAAATTCTTGGATTCATTTTTTTTCAGATCTTTTAGGCAGTAATGAAAGTACCTTTGGCCTCCATGTGAAGGTACCTTTAAACATGGGCATTATGAAGATGTGGATACACTTTGGCTAAGGTACACACAGACTTTAATGTATTGTTATGAAAGTATCAGTCATGAAACGAGTTTGGTTACTGAAATCAGTTTCTTTTTACATATATAATGAAAACTTTAAGTATTTAACCTTGAAAAGTATTTTTAGAATAATACAAAATACTTGCTTTGATTTTTATTAAAAAATCCAATTACATAAATGTACATATCTTCATGATAAGTGTTAGATAAAATCAAAATTCATTAATTTTGTATAAAGTATATTATTATTAAGTGTTAAACACATTTTCCATAGAACTAAAAAAAAACTATGAAATCATTCTTGTAGCTAAATCCAATAGCTAAGAAATAAAACATTTTGTATCATGCTGAGATCAAGGATTTTCTTTTCGTTTTTGATGGTTACCACTTCTATTATTTTGCTACTGAGAAATGTGAACAACCATCACTATACTATCTAACAAAATAATAATAAATGCATGTAGTATATGTTCTAAAATAATGCCCCTGTTAATTACTTTGTACTAATTACCAGGCTATTATCTGACTTTAAGAAAAAAAAAGTTTTATACCATGAAATGATTGGAAATACTCCAAAAAATAAATTTAATTTCATATGAAGTCAATCAGAACAGAAAAGTGTTTTTTTTTAATAAAGTAAAGAATCTACTTTACAATAACAATAAACAGAAACAAAATTTTTAAAAATGAATATCCCATGCTATTCGAAAAGAATGCCTGCAAAGCATTGAATATGACAGATCTCCTTATTAAGCGTATATATTTCACATCACTGGAAACACTAGGTATACAGTATATTGAAAGCCCATTTTGTTTGAGTAACTTCTAGATGTTTCTCTGTTTATCATCAGCACATCAAATGTCCTAAATGCATATAGTAATTAGGTAGTAGCTTTCATTTACTAATTTTCATCCTTGCACATACACACATTCATATTCTAAGAACTAGACTGACAAAGCACACATTTGCCACTCAAGTTCAAAACACGCTAGAGAATGTTACATACAAGGACACTCAGACACACATTTGCATGTACATCCAGATACAGATACAAACAAACTGCAGAAATTCTTTACATACATCTGACCCTATGATATCTGGAATTCTTCACTCAATATCAGATTCTTTGTGAAACTGCTATTATAAGCCTTTCACCTGCATTACTTCTATTGCACACAATAATAACTGTATTATGATTATAAAATATTTTATCCTTAAAGTATTTTCTTATCCTCTTAACGTTCTTCACTGGTATGAAAGTAAAAAGTCTGCTGATCATATCACTTACCAATTTTATAAGAAGACAGTAGTATCAATATTATTGTCCATTAAATGCCTGCTCCTACTCAGTCCTGTGGGTACTTTAGTGTGATTTCAGCTAAAACCAAAAGACTGTGAAGTTTCGAACCTCTCTTAAAATTGATAAGCTGATTTTTTTTTTTTTTTTTGACCCAATGACATATGAATAAATCCTCATGTTATTTACATCCATGTCTATTTCATATACCTCATAAACTGGTGTTAGAAAAGTGTTTAATCATCTGGAAACTGCTAATTAAAAATGGACATAATAACAGGCATGTGTGGATTTATGTCTTGCACATCAGCATTCATTAAATATTATATGTCAATCAATCTGTTGTAAGCAGTCAGCAGTTACCTTATATACTATGGACAACATTTTTTTTTTCAACTATCTCTACTTCTCTACCAACTAACATATCTTTCTACTTACTATATCTCTCTCTATCTACAAATATCTTTCACTTTATCTATTCATCTACCTATCTATCTATCTATCTGTCTATTTACCCATATTCACATTCAATTATCTGGCATCAGTTTATCAAAGGGTTACATTTCCTTTTGACAATTATTTAGATCTGTAATGAATAAGTTTCTATGAAATAATCTCCAATACAGTTCAGCTTCTTACACAACATAGTAGTTGGACTTGCAGTGTGCTGAAAAAGAGAATAAATAGTTTATTAACTTATAAATCACTCATTTTTTATTGTAAAGGAAGCAGAAGGAAATGGTTTCTTAAGAAGTCATGGTTTCATATATGTCTAACAGAGTTCTAGACTTCCTAATGCATAAGTGCCTCTTACTCTCAGTGTACATTCACTTTATAGGTTCTGAAAAACTGCTTCTGTTTTACAGTTGTCTTCACACATGTAATGCAGATGCATCTTCAGTCACACCATAGTGTCAAAAACTGTATTTTTGATTAACTTTTGGGTAAAACAAATTACACTAAATTTTCTTGAATGTGACTTCATAAATTTACATGAAACACTGTTATAAAGTATACACTTATGTTAAGGAAACTCATGTTTATATAAATACTTTTATTCATATATTTCGTACATGCACATAACCTTTAAACATGGTGCTTCTCCCATGTAGGTCAATCAACAATTAATGATTAAAATGTCAGAGTGATATTTCAAACTCCTCTGGTAATTTTACAGGCTAAAAGCATTACCTATAAATTCTGTGACAAGATCACTGTCAGTATTCATTTTCATTGAACCTGTGATGTCTTCGTTCTCAACCAAAGGGAGGAACAACTGTACAAACTCAACAGTATATGGTGGTGCCACAATCTCCAACACCTAGAGAGAAGATGAGGAAAACCATGAATAAAATAAATCTCCATAGATAAAGCAGATTTTTCATTTTGAAACAATCTTTTTAAATAAAAATCTATAGAGTGTTCATTTTCAAAACAATCTTTTGATATATAATGTGTTTTGCTTCATAAAGTTTCGTCTTCAGAATGGAAGTATTTTCAGTGGTTTGATGAAAGCAATGGAAAATCATCCTTTTTAACCAAGCAAGTCAGTCAATTAATTTAGTGAATATAATAATACACAGGAAGGAAGAAAATGAAATAATATAAAAGGAAAACAAAGGAATGGAAATAAGGCAATGTCAAGTAATTGAAAGGAATCAAAATTCTGAAAATGAAAGAAAGAGAGAGAGTGATAACAAAATGTCCCCAAGATATAATCAAACACCTATAAAAAAGAGGGAGTCAAATTTCTCAGAAGAACAGAAACACATAAACAAGCTTACCTCCCGAACGAAGTACCGGATGAGGGAGATGTCGGTATCACCCTTAGTGTAGCAGCTCTTAATATACTTCATCACTGGGAGAACGCATCCTCTGCTCAGGAGATTCACCATTCGGTCCAGCAACATCTTCCTCAGTTCCAGCTTGAGGTGTCAGAGATTAATTGTAACCAGTTAGTTTTACAATAAAAAGTAGGCTGACATGAGAAATATTGCCAAGTATGTGTGGATTTTATAGTGTATTCTGTTTTTTAAGAATATGACAGTGGTTTGCATTTATCAGTCAAAAGTAGCATTCAATGTCAAACCAATTTCTGAACCATTCCTAACAGTGGAGGCATTAAATAAACTCAAAAAGACCAATGCTACCATACTTATACATGTCCTCAGTAAAATTTAGTTTTTTCAGACAATGATTCTTGGTTTATGTATATGTATATATATATATATATATATATATATATATATATATATATATATATATATATATATATATATATATATATATATATTTATATATTTATATATATATATATATATATATATTTATATATATATATATATATATATATATATATATATATATATATATATATATATATATATATAAATATATATATATAAATATATATATATATATATATATATATATATATATATATATATATATATATTTATATATATATATTTATATATATATATATATATATTTATATATATATATTTATATATATATATATATTTATATATATATATATATATATATATATATATATATATATATATATATATATATATATTATATATTTATATATATATATATATATATATATATATATATATATATATATATATATATATATATATATATATATATATATATATATATATATATATATATATATATATATATATATATATATATATATATATATATATATATATATATATATATATATATATATATATATATATAAACAATACACATACATATACACACACTCTATGTCTGAAGATGTGTGTGTGTGGAGGGGGTGCATATGTGCATGTAAAAACATAGCAATTATATGAGGAAATAGAGAATATTTCTAAAAAAGCACATTTTGCTTTAATACAGACATTTTGAATCTTTCCAAAACTCAATCATGTTCAAAACCTTTAATTTCCATACACAAGCCATTACAACTGAAGAGAAAGGTTGCTGCCCATTTCCTTGAAAACACCAAGGACTAGAAAATAAAATAAAAGAAAGGAAAATAAAATAAAATAAAAGGAAAGAGAAGAAAAGAATTCAAAAGAAAGAAACCAACTTGCATGTTAAATACTTAAATCAATGTATTAAGGTAAGCAGAGTCATAGCCACGTTTACTAAAATGTGTGAAAATTCATCCCCAAAAGGCCTTACTTGTACTAGAATTTCCAGGTCTTGGAATTCTGACTCAAAGAGTTCTATGAGCAGATTGAGAACTCGACTGTGGAGGAGGAGGTGTATGGAAACGACCTCATCCAGCAGGGCAAGATGAGTCGGTGTTGTTTCTGTGCACAGCTTGAAATAACTTGGTTCCTTCACGACACACTCAATCCATCGGACAAGACCAACGCTCACCACAGGGAACCTGAGGAAGTTACCATACGTCTTCTTAAGTAGCTGCATATAACATATATACTCATATATAAATTGTGTCTTCACTGGGCAAGGTTTAGAAAGAAAAGTACACCAGTACACCATATTAATAAATGTAAAAATTTCCATCAAAACAGATATACACAGAACAAGCTAATATTAACATGACTTATTACCTGATACACTGATACAGTGTATTAATCTCTGCTATCAGTTCCATTGCAGACTTCCCACCCTGACAAATGTTGTGGACCTTCTCAATGGCTTGCTGTGTGGGCTTTAAATCATCTCTGTTCACCTGAATAGGTAATAAACATGCATACATTAATTGACCCAGCTATGGATCAACAGACAAAACAATGAAAGTCTGTGTAAAATGTGTTAGACATCAATGATACTGAAAATGGCAATAACTACAATAATATCAGCATTTAAATAATAATGAAACTAAAGATACATCACCTGTCTGGAACGGCTTCCCTTCTTGGGAGTCTCATAGACACTTGCACTATAAGCAAGTAGGTATATATATTTCCCTTTGTGTTCCTGGTTAACCTTGCTCCCAGGCTTGAACAAAGCATCAATCAGCAACTCTATTCAGACAAGAAAGAAACCATTAAATTACAACATTAAAAGAATTAAGAAAAACAATATACAAAATACCTACTATAGTAGTGATACTTATGAAATGATGGTGATGATGATCATGATGATATTAGTAATAACAAAAGCAACAACAACAATAATAATCATGGTAGTAAAAAAAAAAGTAATAATAATAATAATGATTACAAACAACACCTAAATGTTCCACTATCCACTGTGCAGTACCATGAAAAAATTGTAAGCCTGAAATAGTTTAATTTAGTACAAACCACATGTATAATACCACTTTCAAAGATTTACACTTAACCCAATGCCTACAGGCATGGCATGTAGGTACATGCCATGGAGAAACTGAAAGCAGTTTCCACTGGGCTTTAAACTCACCTAATAATTGTGGAATACGTATCAACTCAACCAACGGAGGGTCTTGGGAACTGTACAACTTGAAGAGTACAGTAATATCAGCTGGATTTAAGGCATTGCGTGAAAGCATAGGGGCCAAAGCCTGAGCAGCTCTGGGGTGGGTCATTGCACCATTCAACGCCAACTGGATGGGGGTTACATTGTGGCCACTGCAAGTGTAAAACAAATACTTTAATTGCTCTAAAATTCTTCCAAACTGATGAACAAAAGATACTAATAATCAGGGAAAAAATATCAACATAATTAAAGTTACTTCAGTTATAATTCAAAGTTTGTTCATCAAATTAAAATAATAATAATAAAAAATAAAATAATACATACTTGTTAATGGCATATTTGGTGATCTCTTGCTGTAATCTTCGAATGTTATTTCCCCCCTTTGTTTCTTGGGCAAGGATCTGCAACATGACCTGTGCATAGATGTATGTGTGCTGACCGTGACACACCATTTTCTGTAATGGAATTTTCCAATAAGTAAGGTATGTAAGATATCTTACTAAGTAAGACATACGTGTAAATTATAAATTAAGTAAGAAATTGTATACACCCCCCCTCAAAAAAAAAAAAAAGAAAGAAAGAAAGATAGAAAGAAAGAGAGACAAAACCCATATTCTAACCCCAAAGAAAATATCAGGAAAAAATCTTGATTAGAAACCCAAACCAAAAGGAAAGACAACCTGTAAAGTCAATCTATACTGCATTATCTACAGACAATTATTATTCTACTTGTAACAACTCACAGCAAATTCCACAACAGCTTTGTGTCTTGTGTCTTCTGGGGACTGAAGGAAGGTGGATGTAGAAGTCTTGAGGATTCTGGAGAACACTTCAATCTGTTGTGCTGCAGTTGATATACTTGTGATTTCTCCTTGGAAACCTGCATCTGAAATCAGCTGAAAATGGAATAAGAAAAAAAAATTCAGATGGTGAATGAACTTAAACAATAAGAGCTGTTTCATAAAATCTATGGTAAACTGATTTATAAATGAGCAAAATACATATGTCTATATTTTTAATAGTCCCATCTCTTTTAAGTTCAAACCTTTGATAATTCCACCCTTCCCTTTATATTTCAGTCAGAAATACATGTGTTTTAATTCCTCAAATATTTTTCATACTCATCTTCTCTGCCCTTATAATAATTACAACTAATCCTCTTGAAAACTCAGCTAGTATAATGGCAATGCAAACATTACCTTGATTGTGAAATTCAACATAAGGCAGTCGGGAAACTCTTCTGCCAACTTGTAGACCACTGATCGCCATGTACTATGCTCTATCAACTCCGTCAACCATGCTGGGGCCTTGAAGAGAAATACCAATATTAAAACATGTTATACAAAAGAATGCTTCTAGTAATAGTCAATACACAAAATTACCATTTTAACGCTTAGGATATAGGTAAATTAGCTTGAAAAAAAATCTGGTATATTAGTGAACTCACGTCTCCCTCCTCTGTGAAAATTGTATCAGCTTTCTTTGGATCAAAAGTTTTGAGAATCATCTGCTTCAGGTGGTTTTCAACCATTGCTTGCACATCATTTATACTTGCACCTGTGCAGAAAATAACAGGATATATTATAATCACAATAGAAATAATTAAAATCTTTTAAAGGTCATACACACCATATAATTAACAGAGATTGATCAGTAACCACCTTT